TGTGCACTTGTGCTTATATATATATAAGCACAAGTGCACAGAACAAAAACCAGCTCGGATGATGTGTTCTGAGATAGAACGGAAATAGTGTTTTTTTGAAAGTATTCCACACAAAACTCCTCTAGTAACTTTCTCAGGGAAAAGTAATCGACATCTTCAATGGTGGGAAAGGTGACATTCTACAACTTCACAGAGCAACTAGGTGAGTTCACACTTGGCTCGCTCTCAATCTGAACTATTTATAAGACAAAACAACGCATAAAATAAAATTACATGGGTACATATATACATATAAGGAAGCGGATAGCACAGTGGTAGTGACGTCCGTCATCACAAGCACGGTATTAGTTCAATTCCGCTCGGGCCAACCGAGTCTCTCATCTCTCCGGAGTCGGGAAATTGGTACCGGATTTGTCTGGGAAAACAGCACTCTCTGCAGTCCAATTGAGAACACCTCAGCTCGGCTATCTCAGAACTTCAGGGAAAATTGCTCTACCGCCATTCTACAGCATTCAATATGAACTAGAAATCATCAAGAAGCAATCGAAGCCACACGTAAAAGTTGGAAGATCGCCGTGGACAATGGATGCGAGGAAAGGGATCGAATGTGGGAAGTGCTGGAATCCGCACAGTAGACGTGAGACGGATGAAATAAAATAAATTTAAAAAATAGATACGCATAAAGGACAAAGCCGAGAAGGATAAAGGAAACAAGGGAAAAGATCTCGCCGTTGCTTAACCCTTTAAGAGTGCTCCATTCATTCGACTTCATTAAGCATCGTTAGAGTAGCTGAATTCATGTGAGACCTACACTTGTAGTGGTCTATGGATGCATCGAATAAGCACTGCTATCGTCCGAGATTAGTCTGGTACCAAGTTACCGACCCCAGACGGATGGAAGTCTTTGTAAGTCCGAGGTGCGCGATCGAACTAACGTGCACCCCACCGATGAATATATTAATGGATATCCCAAAATTGTCAAAAAATTGCTGGCGCGTGGTGTCAGCTGCTCTCCGAATCTAACCCAGTCGCCAGTCATTCATGGCGAATGCTCAAGGCTATTTACAAGCGCCAAAACCAAATTAACAAATGGGATTTCGTAGAATGGAACATGTTGGTGTTCTCCAATGTGTCGTGGATGGAAACCGCGCTTCCATGGAAAAATTGGGCAAACCTAACTTTGATATAGACCTCTCGAACACTTTATTTCTAGCCAATTTGTTAATGCAATAAAATTTCATAGACCCTATATTTACTCTTAAGATATTTAATAGAGTAAAATCTCTTCTATGAGTGTCCTTTGGTCCTCAATTGCACGAGTTATAGAGAAATTACGTATAATTCTCGGAAACCACATTATTCACAATGCCTAAATATTGTTTTTTTAAAAATAGTTCACCGCTTCCATATTCAATCATTTGTTTAAGATCAATCAATAACGCAAAATTGCACAACGCAATCTTCAGCGACTCTCAACGTAAATGGAATGTGAGGGATTCGAACGGAAACACCGTGATGCCGTACATAATCACGGGAGAATATGGTATATGGAACGGTCTCTAGAAATAATAGAATCTTTCACCATTTTCTGAGTCTCCCAGTTTTTCCATACTATTAGAGCTATGAGTGGGAAAAGGATAAATCAGAAGTAGTTTAAAATATCATGAATGTAATTATGACGAATTTTTGAACGGCTCACGTGCTTTATTTTAAACGATGTAAGGAATTAGTGAGCGTAATAATATTACAAGATAAACTTTCCTTAAACCTCCGTATGACTAATCAATATGCATCCTTTCTTTGATGAGCTTACACGAAGTTGATAAATAAAGTTTATTTTCAACTAACGTTTCGGCAGTTCCGTCTTCATCAGAGCCGAATCATCGACTCAGATCATCGGCTCTGATAAAGACAAAAGCGTCGAAACGAGCCCGTAATAGGCATTATTTATCAACCGTGTGTAAGTCTTATCAAAGAAAGAATACATATAGAAATTACTTGCTGCTTTCCATAGAGGTGATTCCGAAAGACTCGAAATATCTCGAGGCTGATAGAACATCGTAGTTCATTCATTGATAGCACTTAAGGAAATACCAACAGAGAATACATTTGCTTCGTACCAAACACGAAGGCTTTAAACTTTAGCTGTCAAAAACTTTTAAATATTTTTAAATCTTTTAAGACGACGTTACTTCCTTACTAACTTGTATACTTGTACGGTACGTCTTCACGACCTGTGCGGACCCCTCGCACATATGCCATTCGTTCCTTTCTCTCGCAATCGTAGTCCATGGTGGTGGTCTTGTTGAGCATGGTAGCGCTTGCGAGACTCATTCTCATACCATGATCTGTGAAACAACTGCAGCTGCGGATACAGCTGATTGACTTTGTTTACGAACATGTCCGCCCAATGTGTAGGTTGTCGTCCAAGAAAACGTTAGAATTCTCTTGGAGTCCACTCTACTGTCCTTTTCGTCCATCTCCAGTCGGCTCTTCTCATTATGTGACCGGCCCATCTATGTTTCGCTGTCGATGTATATTCTCCTGGATCTACGTATAATCGATTCAAATTCGATTATTATTATTATGTTACATTTTTATTGTTATATTCGATTTAATTACAGATGTATATTCTCTATGTATTTCAAGTTGCACGACCAGCAATTGCAACTATGCACGTTACTTTCAGTAAACTTGTTTAAATGTTCTGGAAAATTTTCATGAACGAATCGCCTACGCTTACGGATCGAGTGACAAGTTGATAAAGTTTATTTATATTTTAAGATACCACCGAACTCAATACAATAAAAGAAGGGATGAAACGAATTGAAAGAAACACTTGTATTCGCTTTCGGCAGAGAAGCACTGAAGCGGATTACGTCGACATTCAGAATGCGGTGGGCGAAGGGTGAGTGCCTTTGTTTACGAAAGAGTAATTCGATCCTAACCATCATTTTGTAGGTAGCAGTATTTCAAAAAAAACACCACATATTTATTAGATGATTCTGCATCACGTCTACCAGACTATGGTGATCACACCACTTCCTGAATTTGATTCTTTTCTTTGCACCCACATTCAACAAAGGTCTTCTTGTGCTGCTGTTTGATGGTACTCGTCTTTTTCATGAATGACGTTAGACAATTATCAGGTCATTTCTTGTAGCCCTTAGGTACTCATGTTGCCGCGCTCCCATGTGAATTAAAAAGACTGAGTTTGCCACATGCAAGTATGGAACCAAAACCGGAGGAATGAGAGGCTTGGTTGGTCCGGTGCGGTGTTAAACCGGCGGCTGGTTAGGTTGCACGCCAATACTAGGGGTAGCAATTTCTAGTGACCCAAAAAGCAATAAAATATGAAGGTATAAAGAGATCTAATGTTGACCAATTTCTTGAAAGTGTGCGATGCAGCCGACGTTGTAAAACACGGTAGAGGAGATTGGACGCGTATATAGCTGTGGAATCATCCACGAAAGCTTGCGGATGTATTAAGTCAGTAAATCGCTGGTTTGGTGATAAGCGCACACGAGGGTGTTACACTATTCTTTGTTCACAAAAAATCCAACAATTCCATAGAATTAGCCTTTTCCAAAGCTAAGAAAGATTAACTTTACTGTAATCCAGTCCGCCAAACACCTTCATAACTCCAATGAAATATCACAACATTTGGATTTCAATCGCATTGAGGACAAAATAGCTCCTTCACACACTCACCGCTTTCGGTGACTGTTCCACTAAGTGATCCATGCAGAGACAATCGGAAACGGTTCACAAAAACGGGTAATGTGCCTCTCTCACATTAAAATATAACTTCGAATTACCGTGGGAAATCACGCGTGATTACGAAGCGTTCCTCCCTGCGGTCCGTTTGTGGATTCATGAAACTTATCCGAAATACCTCGAGGGTTTAGGAAGCCAGAGTTTTAGATGCCGTGAAAGGATTGCGACTTCTAAGTTCGAAATCCTCTCCGCTGTGCCTCTGTGCCTTCTTTGTGCCAAGCACAGTATTTGATTTAACTTTAAGTTCACCTGTTGGGTGTTCTTTTATAGAGACACGGAGAGGTTTACCCGTTTCGCAAAGGGATTCGTTCCCACACGCTTTAGAAGAGATTAAGTACACCGGTCGAAATCTCATGCAATCACCGTCTTTAACGTTTGGACATGTTATGCAATTTTGTGTTGTGAATAGATGAGTGTATAAATAGTTACGAACTAGCTCGAATTCTTTAGACAGCTTCTTCTTAACGCCTTTTTCAGCTCCTAAGCTAAGCTTTGTGATTTTTTTATTGGGGCTATGGAAGTACTTGGCTGACTAAATTTTAGTCAGTATAACCTTTCCAGACTATGAAGAAGGGAAAGCTCGCAGAAATGACTGCTTTTTGAGCATTAAAAATAAAGTAACAAACCCGTGTGAGCCTATCAAAAACATCGGATTATTGGTAAGCAGCGAGGTTAATAGTCAGTGTTAGGAGTCATCAAGTTAGAGCATTCTTTTGCTTTTGCAGACGAGTATATGGTACCCGTTTGTCGGCCTCTGTGGCGTGGAAGATTTGTTTCCGCTCTTAGCTTAACTACTGCGTTAGCAACATCCTCAGCAATAAATCCTTTAGAGAAACTGGTTATTGCAGGAGGTATAGAGAAAAGTTGCATAAATCATGAGAGTAAAGCACTAACAAAAGCATTTTACATCAGTAGACCTAATAACCTCCGGACAAAGATTCTTCAAATGTCGCTTAGCAGTTTTTTTCGCTGTTTACTAAGAGACTCTGCTATGTAAAATTTAAAGAAACCCATATGAAAGTGAGCACAGCTTGATTTTTGCCAATACTGCGAAACCGGTTATAATCGTCAGTTTATAGCACGGTGTGAAGAAAAAGCTCTCGACGAAAAACGAAATCAATTAGCTGAAGAATGTTGCCGGTTCTATGATTTACTCAAGGCAGAAATTCTCAGCTGTTCGATTTCAGGTGTTACACCAGTGTGGGTCGTCTGACAGGACGAAGTGTACTGATGCTTGAAGCAGGCGAAGATGGCACGTTAGTTCTTTCCAAGATGTCTATATACAGCATTTACACATGTTTTGAGTTCAACGTGGAGAGAGCTTTTCCGAAGATATAAGAAAACCGGATTGATATCCGAGGTAATATGTATGGCCATCGACTTGCTAGTCAACGCTTCGATAATCGACAAGCACAGGTTACTCATCTAAGACTTCGTGTGGCCGGTCTCCATCAACAACTGGAAAGATTTTAAAGGGCAAGACGGCTCTGAAGAATGCGAAACTGCCGAAGCGTCATCCACTTCCACAATTCTTATGCTAATAATCATGCGCCCAAAAAACTGAATGTTATTAAACCTCGGTAAAAAGAACAAATAATTTTTCTGCATAACTGAGTTGACACGTGATTGGTATAATGAAGGAGGAGTGCCCGACACCTTAGCCGACCAGTAAAAGTTTCCCATGGCAGCCTCGTGCCATCTCAGCCGTATAGAAAATTATTCATCTCGTCTCTGTTAAAGAGGAAAACATCAACTTGTTGATCGTTGCTGAGATTAAGAGAAAGTGGGTCTTNACAATTCACAGCTAGATACGCAATAGTCTGGCTACGGCTAACTATCGTTACTCCAGATTGTCAAATCTGTGAAATATTGCGAGGCTTCTTCGCTCAAAAAAGCTTACCATATCTTTTAAACCTTCCAGTACTTTCACCCGCTGTCCTACTAACTAAGACAAGCGTCTCATTTCTACCTCTTACCACGGTTTTTCATCAGTACTACTTACGATAAGTGAAGTTCTTCAACCAAAGCGTAAATCGCCTTCGCATTCACAGAGCACAAATACTATGAAAAGAAATTCAAGAAGAAGACAAGTCAAATGGTAATGAGTGACATGGTTTCTCGGCATTCGCTGACATATTTTCCTGAGACTTTCAACTGTTTAGATGCGTTGTAACTGAAATCGTTCAACACGAGCTGCTGCACGTGATCGGACTGTGGCACGAGCATATGAGATACGACAGAGACAAATACATCAGAGTGAATTACGGAAACATTCTCCCAGGTTCATCATACGAATCACCCGTAACACTATTTATTTCACTGAAACTTCCCTGAGTTTAAAGAGTTTTTCGGTTTCCTTTTCTCATTAAATGAAACATTTTATTTCAAGCAACTGAGGTTACTTGATTAGGAACGTTGCTATAGCAGCTTGGTTTCAATGATTTGTTCCAGTCTACCACAATAATTTCTACGTCACTATTCTTTTGTTTTGACAAAGTCGGTAAGCAATGCCCAGTCAGCTCTGCTGAAGTGATTCCGTGATCAGGCCATCCATAACTATGGAAAAATGGGACCGTTACTTCTATCTGATGAATTGAATACGTTCTCATCACTGGAGTTCCTTGAGTGGAAGGGGATTTCTTTAGCACATAATCTCCAGCGTGAGTGAATTTTCACTCATAAATGGCTCGGCGTAATAACCGGCGGTGCTTTTACTTTGAAGAGGTGCTTAGTAGAGAACTGAACTATAGAGAGAAAATTACAAAAAAAAGAATATAACTATTTAA